GCAGGAAGGTGAGCACTGGCCCTTTTCCCCCAGAACTTTAGAAACAGGAAGGGTGTGGAGTTGCGTGTTGTCTTTCCTTCCTCCCAGATCCAGCTTGCAGGACCCAGCACCCAGTATCCCAGACCCTCTGTCCCCCCACCCCCCAACACCCACTGCCCTCAGGTACCCAGCCTCGCTTGCCTGGCACTCACAGGACACGTTGAGCTGGACAGTCTTCTCTGTGCTCACACCAGCTCCAGGGAAGGACACTCGACAGGTGAGGTTGGTGCCGTGGTCCTGAGGCCGCGGGGTGAGGGTGAGCACTGAGGAGTGGGGAGTCTTGGGGCCCAGGGAGGTGAGGGAGACCCCTATCCAGGAGAAGGTGGGGGGAGTCCCCCTCTCACAGGCCCATGGCACTGCACAGGTAATGTTCTTGGGCTGCCCAGATTCTAGGGTCCCCTGGATGTGGATGTCAGGCGTCTGAGTCAGAGCTGAGGAGGAGAGAGACAGAGACCCAGTTGCTGGAGGTGGACCCCAAGTGTGACCCTAAGAGCAACCAATGATTCAGGCCAGCCAACTCCTCCCATGCCAGTCTCAGCATCCTGTCCACCTGGGTCCCACTGGGTCCTTCCCAGGATGAGGAGCAGAGGTCCCCATCCAGCCTGGTCCTCAGGACCCTCAGACCCATCCATGTGTTCTCTCCTTGACTGCATTCCTTACCCGTCACATGCACGAAGAGCCGGTTCTTTCTGTAATTGTATCTCATAAATGGCCCTCTCTCTACCCTAAAAAAGTATGTCCCCGAGTCCCTCCTCCTGGCATCTCTGATGTCCAGGGAGCAGTCGTAGATCTGGGGGTTACCAAGGAGGTGAAATCGGCCCTTGGTCTCATCCTGAACTTTAACATTTGGGTTGTTCGTAGCCACAGGAGCATCGTGGTGTGGATATGTCCCTTCTTGGAACCAGTAGCCACGAGCTGGGTCACGGTTAGAGTAATTGACCGGTGGGTGGAAGACAGTGCAGGGAACGTGGATGCACAGCCCCTCCTGTACTGTCACAGACTCCTGTACTTGCAGCCAGAATCTCCCATCCTGAGCCTTGGACCCTGTGGGGAAAGATGGTCATCAGCAGCCC